GGCGCTCGAGCGCTGATTGGGCAGCGCTGCCGGCCCGCGGTATAAAGGGCCGGCGGGGGGGGTGGGGCCGGTTGTGTGTGTGAGGGCTGAGGGCGCGGCCCCGCTGCTGCCCGGGCTGCGGAGGGGAGAGCGCCTTGGCCGCTGGGTTTGTGGGCCGGGAGAGCCGGGGGGCGTTTAGGGGCGCGTTGTGCTGGGCAGCGGGGGCCGGGTAAACCCCTTCCCTGCCGGGTGACCCTGGGGGAGCCGTGGCAGGACTGCGGGGCTGGTGCTCTCTGGGTGGATCGAGTTTTGCTTTGGAATTCCAAACCCTTTCCCTGTGCCGGGTTACGAGGCCAAGACTGCTTTAGCTTGTTTTTTTTTGGTGCTGCATTAATGCTTTTTGCTGGTTCTGTGTCAATTTGCAGCCTGGTTCCTGGTTTCCCCTGGTGCTGGGGAGTGGAGGCGAGTTGTGCTTCCTGCCGGGAGAGAGAAGGGCCTTGGGAAGCTGCTCCATGAGCCACAGCTGTGCCGAGCCCGGGAGTCTGTCCAGGTAAGAGCAGGGCTTATACTGCCCGTGAGGAGCTGGGTTCTGCTGCTGAAACATGCCCATGCCTTGAAATGCAAGGACAGGCAGAAGCTGGGAGGGACCCTGAGCACGTTTGAAAAGCCCTTGACTGTGGGCGAAGTGTCCAGGAGAAAGGATTCCTTTTTTTGCAGGGAGGCAGTTTGTGAGGACAGGGGGGTTGCTGTGCTCTCTAGCCAAACTACTCCCCTTGGGATGTGCAGGGTGAGGAAATGTTGGCCACGTGTGGGCAGGAGCAAAGGTGTGTGGGTGGCTGTGTGTGACAGCCGTGTGTGTGCTGGAAGGGGGTTCTGGTGCCATTGGAGCTGCCAGGAAGCCAAAAGGGGCCCAGTTGTCTGAACAAGGTGAAAGCTGTGTTGGCCTCTGTTGACACCTGCACCAAAGGAGATGCAAATTTTCCCCCTCTTGGTTGCAGGCTTCACAAAGGTCCCAGGAAAGGAAGTTTTAGATTCCAACTCCCCTTTCTGCTAAAGGTTTCCTTGCTCTCTCAGCAGGATGTGGAGTGCCACCATGTCCCCGAGGTCACCCTTTCTGCTGTTGGGAGAGCATGAGGTGGATGGAGAGGATCCCCAGGCATCTGCAGGCAAAAGGGACTGGCACAACTGCGATTTTCTCCAGCTCTCTTAAGATGGACTTTCAGGGTACCATGGGTAATGTGCCAGCTCTCCTGCTGGAGTTTTTGTCTTCTGCTATATTTGAACATCAAGAGTAAAACTACAGTCAGGTGTGTTCTGGAGTATGTTACACTCGTGCAAAGCTCCTTCCCTCTGTTTATTTTCTGTTCTGGAAAGCACAGTCTGGGGTTCCTGGGCACTTCCTCTTAAATGATTCCATGAAAATAATTTTGTACTGAAAGGAGAAAGGAGCTGTCTGTTTGGGATCAGATATCACTGATAAAAGCTTGATGTTTTTTCACTCAGTAAGCTTTTAAAATATCTGATAGTGTGTAGGAATGCCTGGCTTCTAAACCTCACCAGCTGAATCTTAGAGGCTTCTTTAAAGAGCTGAGTTCAGGCAGCAGAATTGGCCCTGCAGGAGGGACTCTGTGCCTGCTCTCCCGTGGCTCCAAGGGATCTCTGGCCCTTCACGCCGGCACCGAGATTTTCTCGGGAAGGGCCTCAGATCCCCGGACCAGTCTGGGACACAGGCAAGATCCCCCTGCATTTATAAATGAGGCCTTCTTTTGGCTTCCTACCCGTACCCATTGGTGGGTTCCAAAGAAGGGCTCTTGAAATGCCTTTTGGGCTGTCCATTGAAGCCTTGGGACCAATTTGGGCCCCCTGGAGGGACAGTGCTGTTGGTGCCCCCCGGGTTGGGGCACCCCGAGGACTCCAGCGCGCACCGAAAGGATTATTCGGGGAGATCCTCGGGGTGCCCGGCCCTGGGGAGTTCAAAGCAAGGTCCCTGCACTGGATTCAGGCATTGCTGAGAGTATCCCAGGTGTAGCTGTCCATGCTAGACATGGAGCTCTCTATGGACTGTAATTGGGTTCTAAAAGTGGTGCTCCAAGTGCAAAGGAAGTGTGGGATTGGGATTAAGAAATGAGCAGTGATGGTCCAATTGGCTGTTTTCTCTTGAATGTAATGGTAAGAGCTGCAGGAGTGCAAGGTGTGTGTTCCAGTCCCCAGCATTTGGTTTGCACATGTCCTGGTCAGACCCAGGTCCAACTTCCTCAGTCCTTAACCCAATCGAGGGAGAATTAAGGACTGGCAGTGTTAAGGTGACTGGTGTGACAGGGGTTAAACTGGGAAAACATTGGGGAATTCCTCAGTTTGTCTCTTTGCCAAACTCAACCAAACCTGTGCTAGGAAGAGATTGAGTGGAAAAGTTGAGGCAGAAATGAAATTAAAAACTGGGGATGTTGAAACTGTAATTGCTGGAACTAAATGTGTCAAAGCAGCAGCTCTTGTTGTGCAGGGAATAACTCCTGTCAGCAGCAAGGTCCTGACTGAAGTGGCAGCTGCAGTTGTTCCTGTGGTGTGGGCCAGTGGAGTTCCAGGAGAGTGGAAGAGGGCAGAACCTGTAGGTATTACCCCTGATGTGGGATCTATATGGGTAAGGCAAAGCCAGTATCCTTTAAAATCCGAATGGCAGCTTGGATTGGTTGCAGTAACAGCTCAATTGGCTCATCCTGGTTTGCTTGTAGGATGTGAATGCAAGAACCTGCCAAGGAACCAATGGCCAAGATGATTGATGAGTGCAGGACCTGAGAGAACCACCTTGAATGACAATCTCCAGGAGTTTGCAGTATTGGATTTAAAAGATGGCCTTTGGTGCATCTCCTTGAGCAAGGAAAGCCAAGAAACCTTTGCTTTTGAAGGAGAAAATCTGGAAAGGGGAAAGGAAGAGGAGAAGCCACCTGACTTCTCCCTTAGCCCCAGACAGCCCCTGAACTGCCTTCCTGGGAATGGTAGGACGGGGTGGACTCTGGATTGCTCCCTCTGGATGTGTGGTAAGACTGTTATACCAGCTTTTAAGAATAGCCTGTAAGCATTTGCTGCCTTGGCTAGATGGTGCAAGGGCAGCCTTTAAGCAGCTAAAGCATTCCCTGAGGAGAGCTCTGGGTCTGCCAGATCTCTCAGAACTGTTGGAAGCATCTTTGCTGGGGAGGGCAAACAAAGGACAAGGTGTGCAGTGACCCCCCAACAAGGGACTTTGAGTTAATGGCATCCCTGCAAGTGAACTTTGTGGGCTGTTCCCCCTGTAGGGCAGGTGATAGTCCCAGCTAGAGTGATGGGAAAAATGGTTAAAAGAGAGCCCCAAAAGCTGGAAATCCTCCTGGAGGCTCTTGGCAAAGAGAGTTTGCTGAGTTGCCCCTGCAAGAAGGATAGTGACAGCTTTTGAGTGCTGGTAGATCCTTTTAATAGATAGCCTTGAGTGTGTCCTTGTTGCACCAGTAGGCCTTGTCCAAGTCCCCATATTCTAGGAGATATACCTATTGAAGTTTAAAATGATCTCCATAATCCTTTGTTGGCTTGAGGCTCTCCCCTGAGGAACTCCAGGAACTCCTGGTGCCGCCTGGGCCGATGGATTGGACGCCCCAGCCCCTCCGTTCCTGCCCAGCCCCTGGGTCCGTGTCAAGGGGTGGCACTGCCAGCCCCTGCAGGTGAAGTGGGAAGGGCCTTTCCAGGTCTTGTGGGTCACATCTATAGCAGCCAAAGTTGCAGGAAAAGGACCTGGGGTCTATTATTGCTGAGTTAGGAAAGCTCCTTTTGGTTGGTGAGCAGAACAAAGTGGATCCTTCAGAGTTCCCATCCGTGTTTGTGTCTCAGCCTGTGTTATGATTCAGGGCTGTAGCTGTTGTTGTCACTGAGGAGTCAAACTCTGCTTTAAATAATGAGACACTGGCCTAATGGCCAAGTGTCAAGAAAAAAGTGGGAATGATACCTGAGTGTTGAGATGTAACAAGAGCTAATCCTTTTTGCAGTGGGATGTAGCCTGGAAACTGCACAGAGCTGAGCCCAGGGATTTAAAGGGACCAACCAAGGGAGGTGAAGAAAGAAGGAAGAAGGGAAGTGAAGCAGCAGCCAAGCAGCACCAAGTGCCTGTGTAAGCAGGTGAGTTGTCTTGAGGTTCCTAAGGCAGGCACTGAGGACTTTGAGGGCTCCAGACAGAGCAGACCTGGGAAGGCCCTCGGTGAAGCCCCTTGGAAACCTTCTAAGGGTAGGTGTGTATGGTAATGAGTGTTGGAAAATGTCCTGAACGTGGAACAGGAATGCAGGGAAGGAAAATGAACCCTCATGTAATGCTGACCCCTCCCATCAGCTGCAGTGGAGATAGCTGTGTGTGCCCTTTGGGAGCTGATTGCCAGGGCACTCGGTGGGCTGGGATCATGGCAGGGTGTTGTAAGCAAGGAATGCCTGGCTTCTAAACCTCACCAGCTGAATCTTAGAGGCTTCTTTGAAGAGCTGTTTTCAGGCAGCAGAATTGGCCCTGCAGGAGGGACTCTGTGCCTGCTCTCCCGTGGCTCCAAGGGATCTCTGGCCCTTCACGCCGGCACCGAGATTTTCTCGGGAAGGGCCTCAGATCCCCGGACCAGTCTGGGACACAGGCAAGATCCCCCTGCATTTATAAATGAGGCCTTCTTGTGGCTTCCTCCCTGTACCCGTTGGTGGGTTCCAAAGAAGGGCTCTTGAAATGCCTTTTGGGCTGTCCATTGAAGCCTTGGGACCAAATTGGGCCCCCTGGAGGGACAGTGCTGTTGGTGCCCCCCGGGTTGGGGCACCCCGAGGACTCCAGCGCGCACCGAAAGGATTATTCGGGGAGATCCTCGGGGTGCCCGGCCCTGGGGAGTTCAAAGCAAGGTCCCTGCAATGGATTCAGGCATTGCTGAGAGTATCCCAGGTGTAGCTGTCCATGCTAGACATGGAGCTCTCTACTGGACTGTAATTGGGTTCTAAAAGTGGTGCTCCAAGTGCAAAGGAAGTGTGGGATTGGGGTTAAGAAACGAGCAGTGATGGTCCAATTGGCTGTTTTCTCTTGAATGTAATGGTAAGAGCTGCAGGAGTGCAAGGTGTGTGTTCCAGTCCCCAGCATTTGGTTTGCACATGTCCTGCTCAGACCCAGGTCCAACTTCCTCAGTCCTTAACCCAAGAGAAGGAGAATTAAGGACTGGCAGTGTTAAGGTGACTGGTGTGACAGGGGTTAAACTGGGAAAACATTGGGCAAGTCCTCAGTTTCCCTATTTGCCAAACTCACCCAAACCAGGGCTAGGAAGAGATTGAGTGGAAAAGTTGAGGCAGAAATGAAATTAAAAACTGAGGGTGTTGAAACTGTAATTGCTGGAACTAAATGTGTCAAAGCAGCAGCTCTTGTTGTGCAGGGAATAACTCCTGTCAGCAGCAAGGTCCCGACTGAAGTGGCAGCTGCAATTGTTCCTGTGGTGTGGGCCAGTGGAGTTCCAGGAGAGTGGAAGAGGGCAGAACCTGTAGGTATTACCCCTGATGTGGGATCTATATGGGTAAGGCAAAGCCAGTATCCTTTAAAATCAGAATGGCAGCTTGGATTGGTTGCAGTAACAGCTCAATTGGCTCATCCTGGTTTGCTTGTAGGACGTGAATGCAAGAACCTGCCAAGGAACCAATGGCCAAGATGATTGATGAGTGCAGGACCTGAGAGAACCCCCTTGAATGACAACCTTAGGTTTAAAAGATGGCCGTTGCCTTTGAAGGAGAAAATCTGGAAAGCAGGAAGGAAGAAGAGAAGCCACCTGACTCCTCCCTGAGCCCCAGACAGCCCATGAACTGCCTTCCTGGGAATGGTAGGACAGGGTGGACTCTGGATTGCTCCCTCTGGATGTGTGCTAAGACTGTTATACCAGGTTTTAAGAACAGCCTGTAAGCATTTGCTGCCTTGGCTAGATGGTGCAAGGGCAGCCTTTAAGCAGCTAAAGCATTCCCTGAGGAGAGCTCTGGGTCTGCCAGATCTCTCAGAACTGTTGGAAGCATCTTTGCTGGGGAGGGCAAACAAAGGACAAGGTGTGCAGTGACCCCCCTGACAAGGGACTTTGAGTTAATGGCATCCCTGCCAGTGAACTTTGTGGGCTGTTCCCCCTGTAGGGCAGGTGATAGTCCCAGCTACAGTGATGGGAAAAATGGTTAAAAGAGAGCCCCAAAAGCTGGAAATCCTCCTGGAGGCTCTTGGCAAAGAGAGTTTCCTGAGTTGCCCCTGCAAGAAGGATAGTGACAGCTTTTGAGTGCTGGTAGATGCTTTTAATAGATAGCCTTGAGGGTGTCCTTGTTGCACCAGTAGGCCTTGTCCAAGTCCCCATATTCCAGGAGATATACCTATTGAAGTTTAAAATGATCTCCATAATCCTTTGTTGGCTTGAGGCTCTCCCCTGAGGAACTCCAGGAACTCCTGGTGCCGCCTGGGCCGATGGATTGGACGCCCCAGCCCCTCCGTTCCTGCCCAGCCCCTGGGTCCGTGTCGAGTGGTGGCACTGCCAGCCCTGCAGGTGAAGTGGGAAGGGCCTTTCCAGGTCTTGTGGGTCACATCTATAGCAGCCAAAGTTGCAGAAAAAGGACCTGGGGTCTATTATTCCTGAGTTCGGAAAGCTCCTTTTGGTTGGTGAGCAGAACAAAGTGGATCCTTCAGAGTTCCCATCCGTGTTTGTGTCTCAGCCTGTGTTATGATTCAGGGCTGTAGCTGTTGTTGTCACTGAGGAGTCAAACTCTGCTTTAAATAATGAGACACTGGCCTAATGGCCAAGTGTCAGGAAAAAAGTGGGAATGATACCTGAGTGTTGAGATGTAACAAGAGGTAATCCTTTTTGCAGTGGGATGTAGCCTGGAAACTGCACAGAGCTGAGCCAAGGGATTTAAAGGGACCAACCAAGGGAGGTGAAGAAAGAAGGAAGAAGGGAAGTGAGGCAGCAGCCAAGCAGCACCAAGTGCTTGTGTAAGCAGGTGAGTTGTCTTGAGGTTCCTAAGGCAGGCACTGAGGACTTTGAGGGCTCCAGACAGAGCAGACCTGGGAAGGCCCTCGGTGAAGCCCCTTGGAAACCTTCTAAGGGTAGGTGTGTATGGTAATGAGTGTTGGAAAATGTCCTGAACGTGGAACAGGAATGCAGGGAAGGAAAATGAACCCTCATGTAATGCTGACCCCTCCCATCAGCTGCAGTGGAGATAGCTGTGTGTGCCCTTTGGGAGCTGATTGCCAGGGCACTCGGTGGGCTGGGATCATGGCAGGGTGTTGTAAGCAAGGAATGCCTGGCTTCTAAACCTCACCAGCTGAATCTTAGAGGCTTCTTTGAAGAGCTGTTTTCAGGCAGCAGAATTGGCCCTGCAGGAGGGACTCTGTGCCTGCTCTCCCGTGGCTCCAAGGGATCTCTGGCCCTTCACGCCGGCACCGAGATTTTCTCGGGAAGGGCCTCAGATCCCCGGACCAGTCTGGGACACAGGCAAGATCCCCCTGCATTTAGAAATGAGGCCTTGTTGTGGCTTCCTACCCGTACCCGTTGGTGGGTTCCAAAGAAGGGCTCTTGAAATGCCTTTTGGGCTGTCCATTGAAGCCTTGGGACCAAATTGGGCCCCCCTGGAGGGACAGTGCTGTTGGTGCCCCCCGGGTTGGGGCACCCCGAGGACTCCAGCGCGCACCGAAAGGATTATTCGGGGAGATCCTCGGGGTGCCCGGCCCTGGGGAGTTCAAAGCAAGGTCCCTGCACTGGATTCAGGCATTGCTGAGAGTATCCCAGGTGTAGCTGTCCATGCTAGACATGGAGCTCTCTACTGGACTGTAATTGGGTTCTAAAAGTGGTGCTCCAAGTGCAAAGGAAGTGTGGGATTGGGATTAAGAAACGAGCAGTGATGGTCCAATTGGCTGTTTTCTCTTGAATGCAATGGTAAGAGCTGCAGGAGTGCAAGGTGTGTGTTCCAGTCCCCAGCATTTGGTTTGCACATGTCCTGGTCAGACACAGGTCCAACTTCCTCAGTCTTTAACCCAATAGAGGGAGAATTAAGGGCTGGCAGTGTTAAGGTGACTGTTGTGACAGGGGTTAAATTGGGAAGAACAAACTGGGGAATTCCTCAGTTTCCCTATTTGCCAAACTCACCCAAACCAGGGCTAGGAAGAGATTGAGTAGAAAAGTTGAGGCAGAAATGAAATTGAAAACTGGGGCTATTGAAACTGTAATTGCTGGAACTCAATGTGTCAAAGCAGCAGCTCTTGTTGTGCAGGGAATAACTCCTGTCAGCAGCAAGGTCCCGACTGAAGTGGCAGCTGCAATTGTTCCTGTGGTGTGGGCCAGTGGACTTCTAGGAGAGTGGAAGAGGGCAGAACCTGTAGGTATTACCCCTGATGTGGGATCTATATGGGTAAGGCAAAGCCAGTATCCTTTAAAATCAGAATGCCAGCTTGGATTGGTTGCAGTAACAGCTAAATTGGCTCATCCTGGTTTGCTTGTAGGATGTGAATGCAAGAACCTGCCAAGGAACCAATGGCCAAGATGATTGATGAGTGCAGGACCTGAGAGAACCACCTTGAATGACAACCTTAGGTTTAAAAGATGGCCGTTGCTTTTGAAGGAGAAAATCTGGAAAGGGGAAGGGAAGAGGAGAAGCCACCTGACTCCTCCCTGAGCCCCAGACAGCCCTGAACTGCCTTCCTGGGAATGGTAGGACGGGGTGGACTCTGGATTGCTCCCTCTGGATGTGTGGTAAGACTGTTATACCAGCTTTTAAGAAGAGCCTGTAAGCATTTGCTGCCTTGGCTAGATGGTGCAAGGGCAGCCTTTAAGCAGCTAAAGCATTCCCTGAGGAGAGCTCTGGGTCTGCCAGATCTCTCAGAACTGTTGGAAGCATCTTTGCTGGGGAGGGCAAACAAAGGACAAGGTGTGCAGTGACCCCCCTGACAAGGGACTTTGAGTTAATGGCATCCCTGCAAGTGAACTTTGTGGGCTGTTCCCCCTGTAGGGCAGGTGATAGTCCCAGCTAGAGTGATGGGAAAAATGGTTAAAAGAGAGCCCCAAAAGCTGGAAATCCTCCTGGAGGCTCTTGGCAAAGAGAGTTTCCTGAGTTGCCCCTGCAAGAAGGATAGTGACAGCTTTTGAGTGCTGGTAGATGCTTTTAATAGATAGCCTTGAGTGTGTCCTTGTTGCACCAGTAGGCCTTGTCAAAGTCCCCATATTCCAGGAGATATGCATATTGAAGTTGAAAATGATGTCCATAATCCTTTGTTGGCTTGAGGCTCTCCCCTGAGGAACTGCAGGAACTCCTGGTGCCGCCTGGGCCGATGGATTGGACGCCCCAGCCCCTCCGTTCCTGCCCAGCCCCTGGGTCCGTGTCGAGTGGTGGCACTGCCAGCCCTGCAGGTGAAGTGGGAAGGGCCTTTCCAGGTCTTGTGGGTCACATCTATAGCAGCCAAAGTTGCAGGAAAAGGACCTGGGGTCTATTATTCCTGAGTTCAGAAAGCTCCTTTTGGTTGGTGAGCAGAACAAAGTGGATCCTTCAGAGTTCCCATCCGTGTTTGTGTCTCAGCCTGTGTTATGATTCAGGGCTGTAGCTGTTGTTGTCACTGAGGAGTCAAACTCTGCTTTAAATAATGAGACACTGACCTAATGGCCTAGTGTCAGGAAAAAAGTGGGAATGATACCTGAGTGTTGAGATGTAACAAGAGCTAATCCTTTTTGCAGTGGGATGTAGCCTGGAAACTGCACAGAGCTGAGCCAAGGGATTTAAAGGGACTAACCAAGGGAGGTGAAGAAAGAAGGAAGAAGGGAAGTGAGGCGGCAGCCAAGCAGCACCAAGTGCCTGTGTCAGCAGGTGAGTTGTCTTGAGGTTCCTAAGGCAGGCACTGAGGACTTTGAGGGCTCCAGACAGAGCAGACCTGGGAAGGCCCTCGGTGAAGCCCCTTGGAAACCTTCTAAGGGTAGGTGTGTATGGTAATGAGTGTTGGAAAATGCCCTGAATGTGGAACAGGAAAGTAGAGAACAAAAATGAATCCTCCTGTAATGCTGCCATATCAGCTGCAGTGGAGATAGCTGTGTGTGCCCTTTGGGAGCTGATTGCCAGGACACCTGGTGGGCTGGAATGATTCAAGAGCATAGGAATAAAAGGTTGCCTGACTTCTGAACCTCACCAGCTGAATCTTAGAGGCTTCTCTGAAGAGCTGAGTTCAGGCAGCAGAATTGGCCCTGCAGGAGGGACTCTGTGCCTGCTCTCCCGTGGCTCCAAGGGATCTCTGGCCCTTCACGCCGGCACCGAGATTTTCTTGGGAAGGGCCTCAGATCCCCGGACCAGTCTGGGACACAGGCAAGATCCCTCTGCATTTTGGGACCAAATTGGGCCCCCCTGGAGGGACAGTGCTGTTGGTGCCCCCCGGGTTGGGGCACCCCGAGGACTCCAGCGCGCACCGAAAGGATTATTCGGGGAGATCCTCGGGGTGCCCCAACCTGGGGAGTTCAAAGCAAGGTCCCTGCACTGGATTCAGGCATTGCTGAGAGTATCCCAGGTGTAGCTGTCCATGCTAGACATGGAGCTCTCTACTGGACTGTAATTGGGTTCTAAAAGTGGTGCTCCAAGTGCAAAGGAAGTGTGGGATTGGGATTAAGAATCGAGCAGTGATGGTCCAATTGGCTGTTTTCTCTTGAATGCAATGGTAAGAGCTGCAGGAGTGCAAGGTGTGTGTTCCAGTCCCCAGCATTTGGTTTGCACATGTCCTGCTCAGACCCAGGTCCAACTTCCTCAGTCTTTAACCCAATAGAGGGAGAATTAAGGGCTGGCAGTGTTAAGGTGACTGGTGTGACAGGGGTTAAATTGGGAAGAACAAACTGGGGAATTCCTCAGTTTCCCTATTTGCCAAACTCACCCAAACCAGGGCTAGGAAGAGATTGAGTAGAAAAGTTGAGGCAGAAATGAAATTGAAAACTGGGGCTATTGAAACTGTAATTGCTGGAACTA